TATCCGCGGCAACGTCGCCGATGCATCGGCGACGCATCGGGGATGCGGCGCGAACCCCATTTGCTCGGACCCCGTCTGGGAGACATCTAACCTTTTCCCCATGACCAGCTCTTCACCCCGACCTGTTTTTGGACGGTCCTGGGGCCCGGCGAGGGCTCCTGCCGTTTTTTCTTTTTTCACGGCGCGAGCATGTCTGGGTCTGGGGGTTCCAAAATCGATCCCTGGACCTGTTCTGGGCTGCGTTCTGGCTAGAATTTCGAAGTGGATCCAGCGGCGGCGACGAGGAGCCTCCTGGAGGCTCAAAAAAGGAGGGAAAGGCCGAAGTTCGATCCTCGATCGTCGAACACATCGCTTCTTCCACGGCGCGAACATCTGTGGGCCGTTGTCCGCCGTCTGCCTCGCCGTCGTCGCCGTCGTCGTCACCGTCGTCGTCGTCGTCGTCGCCGTCGTCGCCGTCTTCGCCGTCGTCGCCGTCGTCGCCGTCGCCGTCGCCGTCGTCGTCGTCGTCGTCGTCGTCGTCGTGAGGCCCGCGGGCCCCGCGCGTCAGAGCACGGCGAGCACGGCGAGCACTCGCCGCTCGACGGGGCCCTGCGGCGGGCGCGGCGCGGCCGCGGGGGCGGGCGAGGCGTGGCGGGGAGCCGCGGCGCGGCGGCGGGGCAGCGGGCCCTAGGAGTAGCCTCCCTCCTCGATCGGGGACCGACGGACTTCGGCGCGGCCCACGGCGGACGGCGGCGGCGATGACGGCGACGACGGTGACGACGGCGACGGCGACGACTGCGACGACGACGACGGCGGACGACGACGACGACGCCGACGACGCCGACGGCGGGCGGCGGCGGCGGCGGCGGCGGCGGCGGCGGCGGCGGCGACGACGACGACGACGACGACGACGACGACGACGACGACGACGACGACGACACTCAGGAAATTCGGAGATCTGCCGGCCGATCGAATCGGGAGAGCCTCCGGCCCTCTCGTAGTGGGGCGGGGGCCGGGCTCCTCGGAGGGCTCGGAGGGCCTCCAGCCTCCCGAGGAGCCGTCTGGGCCTTCTCGGAGGCCCCGCCGCCTTCTGAGAATGCCTGCCCCCTCTCGTCTTCCCCCCTCGGCGCGCCGCCCGGCCTCGATCAAAGGAGGGTGGGAGGAGGAGAAAATGGAGGGCATTCTTTCTCCTCCTTCTCCTCATCCGCCTCCTCCTCCTCCTCCTCCGCCTCCTCCTCCTTCTCCTCCTCCTCCTCCTCCTCCTCCTCCCCCTCCCTCTCCCCCTCCTCCTTCTCCTCCTCGTCCTCCTCGTCCTCCTCCTCATCCTTCTCGTCGTCGTCGTCTTCCTCCTCCTCCTCCTCGTCCTCGCCCTCCTCCTCCCCTGCCCCTCCTTCTCCTCCTCTGCTCGCTCCTCCATTCCTCCTCCTTCGAGCTTCGAGCTGCGGGCAGTGTCGAGCGGTTGTCCCGATGGTTCCTCCTCCTCCTTCTCCTCTGGCCGCGGATCGGACCCGAATGTGCATCGATTGAAAAATGAATCGCAGGAGCTTCCGCTCGTCTTGGGTCCAGTGTGTATCGGGGAGTAGCGCCACATGGCGCAATAGCGCCAGATGGTGCCCAATAGCACCCAGTAGCTCTTAAATAGGATTCTAATCTTTTCTGACAGCGACCAATAGCGCCCAATAGGGCCATTTGAGGGAGATGCATCATGTCCGCTTTACGCGCGATGGGGCGCGCTGTCGGGCGCCTCCGGGACGACCGAACGCTCCCGCGAGTTGGTCTCGAGGCTCGGATCGGCCTGCGCACCGAAGCGGGCCGCGCCGGAACGGAGTCGGCATCGCATTGGCCGCGCACGGATGCGCAACGACGCCACATGAGCATCGGACCGCATCGGATGGCCGGCACCTCGGAGTCGAAGCGGGTCGGGCCGGCCCATGCCGACGTCGAAGCGGATCGATCGGATCGCCGTGGACCCCGGAGGGCCCCCCCCGCGCCCCGCACGGCGTGCTGCCTCGAGCCCGGCTCGCCGCTCGACGGCATGCTGCTGGGGGCGAAGCTCGGAGGAGGCAAAGCCCCGAGATCCTGGGGCCTCGAGTCTTTTGGGGCTGGGCGCTTTGGCTTCGCTGCGGGTTCCCAAGACCCTCACGGATCGATCTGGTTTGAAAAATGCAGCAAAACGATAGGGTCCAGGGCTCCGGTCGTAATTTTCTGCGGCGTTGTGTTTGTTTCCCGCCGTCGGATCTCCAGGAGGGTACCGCTACCGCAACCCTTCCCTCGTTTTCGCATTCTGGGAGGCCCTCGACTCATTGCCACGGCTGGATTCGCCTTGGAATTCTGGTCAGCACACACCCGGGGAGAGGTCCAGGGAGTACAGTCGAGACCCTGGAATGAGAAACATTTGGGTCTCGGAAGTGGCTCAGCGTTTCGCGCCGTTTCTTCAGATCCAGGTCAGGGAACTTCATTCGTGGCCGAGGCTCGCCGTGGCCAGAAACGCCCCTTTTAAGGCTCGCCGTGGCCAGAAAAGCTCCTTTTATTCCTTATCTGGCGTTCCCTTTGGTAGCACGGCGACTGGCAGGAGGAGTAGCAACGGGGCAGGATGAGGGCGGACGGTGAGCATAGCGGAGGAGGTCGAGGAGGAGGAGGAGGAGGAGGAGGAGGAGGAGGAGGAGGATGAGGAGGGGGAGGAGGAGGAGGAGGAGGAGGAGGAGGAGGAGGAGGAGGAGAAGGATGGTCAGGAGGAGGACGAGGAGAAGGAGGAGAGGAGGAGGATCAGGAGGAGGACGAGAGAAGGAGGAGGAGGTGGAGGAGAAGGAGGAGGGGGAAACAAGAGGATCAGGAGGACGAGGATGAGGAGGAGGATTTCGAGTAGGAGGAGGAGGAAGAGGAGGAGGAGGAAAAGGAGGTGGAGGGGGAGGAGGAGGAGGAGGAGGAGAGGAGGAGGAGGAGGAGGAGGAGGAGGAGAGGAGCGGAGAGGGAGGGACGAGGAGGAGAACGAGGAGGATGAGGAGGAGGATCAGGGGGAGGACGAGGAAAAAGAGGAGGAGGAGGATCAGAAGGAAGAAGAGGAGGAGGATGACGAGGACAAGGAGGAGGAGGAGGAGGAGGAGGAGGAGGAGGAGGAGGAGGAGGAGGAGGATGAGAAGAAGAAGAAGGGGAAGGGACGAGGAGGAGAATGACGAGGAGGAGGATGAGGAGGACGAGGAGGAGGAGGAGGAGGAGGAGGAGGAGCAGGGTGGAGGAGGAAGAGGAGGAGGAGGATGAGGAGGGTGAGGCGGATCAACATGCTCATCAGAAACCGAGCGGACACCATCAGCCAGAATGACATAACTAGGGTCATCACGGAGATCCAGACCGCGCCAGGACCAACAGCAGCAACCGCCGTGGCCAATCACCAGCAGACCGCGGCATCGGCAAGCAGCTACACACCACTACACCCCAACAGGGGTTGACGGCAAACCGACCGACTACCAGACCCAGGGCAATGACCAAGGCCCTGCACAAAGTTCGCCACGCGCGGCAACGTCTTCATCCGCCGATCGACCAGTTATCATCGTCAAGGTGCTGCCTACCAAGGGATCTCGTTACAAGGCATCACACATTATTACCGTGCCAGCTAAGTCGCCACCACCAAGCTTCGACATACCCGAGGTGGCGGGAGCAACAGCAGGACAGATGCCGACCGATGACAGGAACCCGAGGAGTGGAGCAGCGGGAATCACACACATCCCACCGCACCGCCAGGAGATCTCCACAGAACGCCGCCGCCCAAGACCCCACCGCGCGAGCAGCCTCAGCGCCGAAGATAGCGCACACCAGGCGTGACAACACCACAACCGTGCCATACAGGTCGCCAATCAGGTCCCCCTCGCACACTCCGTCAACCATCAGCTTGCAACAGTGGCAGTGTACCTCGTAACGAGGAGGGCGACGACTTACCAACACCGGCTGCGATCAACAGCGTCGCAGCCTATCTAAGTATGCACATCAAGCTGGGATTTCGCTACGACCCGCAATCTGAGCCAGCACCATTCGCGATCAACTCCTTCCAGAAGGAGGTCGCCAACAGGGCCGTCAGAAAGATCAGCGAGGTGATTGCAGGCCAGGGCGACGATCTGCATGGCGGCGAGGGGCCACGCAAACAAGCGGATGCTACGGAGCACACGGGCACCAACAGCGTGTACAAGTACCAAGTCATTCCGTACCAGACCAGCATCACCAGTCGCCGCACATCGACAATACCATCAACAGGATGGAACCACTCGTCCCGGACCTCAGCAACCTTTCGACGCATCGTCTGCTCACGGAGGTTGCCCGCTGATGGTCCCCGACCATGCCATGGTCAAGCACACCAAACAGCGTCAACAGCGCTCATGATGATGGCCGACTGTGACAGTGCCCCAACCGACGACGGCTACGACTTCGCGAGTGGCACGGATCAGACACCTACAGCGTGCGGCCATACTGGGTCGGTCGACGAAGGCGACGCAGAGGGCCATGGCACAGACGAAGCCCAGCCTCACGCCGCTGCTACCCGTTGCGACGACCAGGCGGAATGGAAGCCATGGCCGACCTTTGCCGAAGCGTGCCAGGTCGGCCAATCGACCAGCCTGACGAATCAGGAGCCTCCCCCTGATCGCCTCCATCCAACGAGGCATTGCCCTCGCGGTGGGACTTGCCTAGCACTGGCCCGCCAGTGCGTCATCCCTACTGCTATCCAATGTTGTCCAAGTTTGCTCCGACAAACCAACAGCAGACTCGTTTGGCGACCAGCTGCTCCAACCATATTCATTTTCTCGGCGCTACTCTTTCACAAAACATTCGCACTCACTGGACATCCAGCAGTAGTAACAGCTGGCCAGCGGACTACCATATTCTCCGACTCCTACTGGCATCCTCCATGGCCGCAGCGCAGCAGGGATTCTGCAGCAAGACAACACCATGAGGTGGACATGTCAGCGGAAACGTTACTGTGGGCCCCCATAGGAGGCTTCCTCACCCACCTTTTGGCACTATTCCAGATCCGGATCGCGAGTCGATTTTGTGGAATCTCAAACCCGGATGGTGGAGCGCCAGGGAGGCCTCCCAGCACCTTCCCAGGGAGCCCTGGCAGCCCTGGGAAGGACCTCCCGAAGGAGTTTTGGTGGCTTGTCCACCACTGTGGAGCCAGCAGGAGGTGTGTCGGGCACGCCGCTCTCTTTCCCCCCTTCCTCCTTCTTTCTGCGGCACCTTGTGCGCGTGCGGCTTTTTTTTTTTTTTTTTTTTTTTTTTTTTGTTTTTTTTTTTTTTTTTCTCTCTCTCTCTCTCTCGTTCGTAGATACCTCTGGGAGCAGTCTGTTCGGTGACCTCGGCTTGCAGTGGTTGTTGTTGTTGTTGTTGTTGTTGCTGTTGTTGTTGTGGTTGCTGTCGTTGCTGTTGTTGCTGTCGTTGTGGGAAGTTTTGGGGCACAGCTAGAGAAGGCCTTCCGGGACAAGCTGCGAGAGCATCGAAGTTCCTTGACCGCCGCCAGAGCGAGCTCTGGGGCTACCCTTGCCGGCTGGCTTCTGGTCTGAAGTCATCTCAGCTCTCAGAGAGCTGTCCGGGAAACTTGTGCGCAACGGTGATCCGTGCACGTAGGAGGCCCTCCACCAACCTTCACTCCCAACTGGCTCCCCTTCTTGTATAATTGCCCACCCGCTGCATCCCGCTAACCTCCTCATCCCCCTCTTGTGGGGTGGGGTGGGGGGGGGGGAAGGATGGGGTTAATGGGAGGGGACTGGCGAAGGGACTCACCGATGGTCGTCCTGGCAAACGATAGGGCGGCCGCGGCCGCATCACAGCCGGCCACAAGCCACTCGCACCTCCTTGCGCCAGTACCTTCTTCTTTCTACCTGCTTTCCTCGCTCCGCGTTTAGCTTTGGCCTTCCCCGCTCCCTTCCCTTTGGCTGTGCCGCACCACCGCTGCAACCTCGCGAGCCTGTTTTCGTCACTCCGCAGCGCGCTCACCTGTAGCCCTCACCGCTCACATCAGCAACTGCGACCCGGATTCATGGAGGAAGGGGGGTCACACCCGCGGAGGTCATCGCTGGCGAGAGTGGCGCCGCTCACGGGCGCGCCGCCTCGCCCACGGAGTGCTCAGGCGTCGCTCGCGTTCGGCGCACCCCCCCGGGCGGCCTCCAGCGCAAAGTATTGGGACCCCTACGCGTGCCTGCAGGCGAGGGAGCCCGTCGTTGACCTGGGGGGCGCCTGTGGGGGCTAGCATGAGCAGAAGGAGCGGCTCTGGAGCCTTCCTCGCCAAGCTAGCGGCACCCAGCGCGGCCCCGCGGGATTGTCTCGCTGCCACGAACCAACTCACCTCCCACTGCCGCCGCAACCGCTGCCGCTCGGATTCCCCCTTTCCATCTCCTTCCCTTCGAGGTTCTGATTTTGTTTACTCCTCCTCCTCCTCCTCCTCCTCCTCCTGCTCCCTCCACGTTCTGCTGCAGTTACCATGGCCAGTACCAACCGGCACACGGCTGTCTACGTTGATCTTCGCCCCTAGGGTTGCCCAGCCCTGGGGGGAGGGTGGACGGCGGCGTCAGGACGCTCTACCGCCTTCAGCGCCTCAGTGTTTCAGGAGGCCGAGGACCAGGAGGAGGTGGAGTAGGAGGAGGAGGAGGAGGAGGAGGAGGAGGAGGAGGACCAGGAGCGGGAGCAGGAGGAGAGGGAGGAGGAGGGAGGAGGAGGAGGAGGAGGAGAAGGAGGAGTAGGAGGAGTAGGATGAGGATGAGGAGAAGGAGGAGGAGCAGGAGGAGGAGGATAAGGATGAGGATGAGGATGAGGATGATGATGATGATGCTGCTGCTGATGATGATGATGATGATGATGCTGATGATGATGATGATGATGATGATGATGATGATGATGATGATGATGATGATGATGATGATGATGAGAGGAGGAGGAGGGAGGAGGAGGAGGAGGAGGAGGAGGAAGGGGTAGGAGGAGGAGGAAGGGTAGGAGGAGGAGGAGGAGAAGGAGGAGGAGGAGGAAGAGGAGGAGGAGGAAGAGGAGGAGGAGGAGGGGAGGGGGAGGGAAAGGGTGAGAGGGGAGGGGGAGGAGCAAAGGGGGGAGAAGGAGGAGGAGGAGGAGGAGTAGGAGGAGGAAGAAGACGAGGAGGAGGAGGACGATGATGGTGGTGGTTGTGATGATGCTGTTGCTGGTAATGTTGATGATGATGATGATGAGGATGATGCTGCTGCTGCTAAGGATGATGATGACAGTGATGGTGGTGGTCATAATGATGATGATGATGATGCTGCTGCTGCTGATGATGATGATGATGATGCTGATGTTCTTGATGATGATGATGATGCTGATGATGATGCTGCTGCTGCTGATGCTGATGCTGCTGATGATGATCATAATGAGGAGGAACAGGAGGAGCAGGAGGAGGAGGAATAGGAGGATGACGACGATGATGATGCTGCTGCTGATGATGATGAGATGAGGATGATGATGATGCTGATGATGATGATGATGATGATGATGATGATGCTGATGACGATGATGATGCGGATGAGGGGGACGAAGGGGAGGAGGGGGAGGAGGGGGTGGATGGAGATGATGATGCTGCTGCTGATGATGCCGATGATGCTGATGATGATGACGATGGTGATGATGATGATGCTGCTGATGATGTTGATGATGACGACGATGATGATGTTTATGATGATTATGATGCTGATACTGATGATGATGATGCTGATGATGATGATGATGATGATGATGATGCTGTTGCTGATGATTATGATGATGACGACGACGATGACGATGCTGCTGCTGATGATGATGATGATGATGATGATGATGATGATGATGATGATGATGATGATGATGATGATGATGATGATGATGATGATGATGATGATGATGATGATGATGATGCTGATGATGATGATGATGATGATGATGATGATGATGATGATGATGATGATGATGATGATGATGATGATGATGATGGCGCTTATGATGATGATGCTGTTGCTCTTGATGATGATGGCGATGACGATGCTGATGCTGATGATGATAATGCTGATGATGCTGATGATCATCATGATGATGATGGTGCTTCTGCTGTTGATGAGGAGAAGGAGGAGAAGGAGGATGAGGAAGAGGACGAGGAAGAGGAAGAGGAAACTGAGGACGAGGAAGAGGAATAGGAGGAGCGAGAGGAAGACGAAGAGGAGGAGGAAGAGGAGGAAACGGAATATGAAGAGGAGTAGGAAGGGGACGAGGAGGACGAGGAGGAGGAGGAGGAGGAGGAGGAGGAAGAGGGGGAGGAGGAGGAGGAGGAGGAGGAGGAGGAGGAGGAGGAGGAGAGGAGGAGAGGAGGGAGGAGGAGGAGGAGGAGGAGCAAGAGGAGGAAGGGTGGGAGGAGGAGGAGGAGAAGGAGGAGGAGGAGGAGGAGGAGGAGGAGGAGAGGAGGAGGATGAGGAGGAGGAGGAGGTTAATGAGGAGGAGGAGGAGCAGGGGCGGAGGACGAGGAGGAGGAGGAGGAGAAGAAGGAGGAGGAGGAGGAGGAGGAGGAGGGGAGGAGGATGAGGAGGATCACTGACCAAACTGCCAGGTTTGCTTGGGTTACACCCCAACTCGCAGCCGGCTAGCAGGGGTTGCCAACGAGGGCTCGCACTGGCTAGTAGCCCACACACGGATCGGTACGAATTGGCTGCCCGGATTAGGGGTAGCACGGAGAGCCCCCCCCTGGCAAACTTCTATCTTCTTCGGGGGGCAAAAAATTCGAACTGCTGCGGACAACCCCCTTGCCTACAATAGCATTGTGAAGCAGACGAGCCCCTTCTTTATTTGAGGGGGGACAGGCAGCCAAGATTTTGTATCTTTTTTGGGGGGTCTAATTGTTGGCACTGCGGGCAGGCATGCGGGACCTACGCATTGCGGCATGGGGGCATGGTGGGGTCGTGCCCCGTGGTGGCCCTGGGTAGCAATAGCGGGGCCAATGGCCAATGCATGCCAACGCATGCCAACGCATGCCAATGCATGCTAATGCATGCCGGTGCATGCCGGTGCATGCCAATGCGTGCCAACGCATGCCTTTGCATGCCAATGCATGCCAACACATGCCAATGCATGCCAACGCATGCCAACGCATACCAACGCATGCCAACGCATGTCAACGCATGTCAATGCATGCCAATGCATGCCAACGCATGCCATCGCATGCACATGCATGCCAATGCATGCCAATGCATGCCAATGCATGCCAATGCATGCCAATTCTTGCCAACGCATGCCAACGCATGCCAACACATGCCAATGCGTGCCAACGCATGCCAACGCATGCCAGCGCGTACCAATGCAGGCCAACGCGTGCCAACACAGGCCAATGCATACCAATACATGCCAATGCATGCCAATGCATGCCAACGCATGCCAACGCATGCCTTTTGCATGCCAATGCATGCCAACGCATGCCAATGCATGCCAACGCATGCCAATGCATGCCAACACATGCCAATGCGTGCCAACACATGCCAACGCATGCCGATGCGTGCCAGTGCATGCCAACGCATGACACACAGGCCCGAAGCAGCCGCATCAGTGTAAGGGCTAGAAGAACATCAGTTCGCCACACCTCTTCTTGAAGCAAGACATTCCAAAGGCACCTCCAGCTCATTATTCCGACGCAGTGGGCCAGGACAGTCAAGCAGCTTCCATCAACACACGCTTGGCCCACATGAGTGATGTCCTACACGACGACAGCGTGGTCCTGGAATGGCACTGCATGCGGACAAGCAGGAGCAGGCACCCGAGGAGGTTGCGGCGACATCCGGCATGATCATGGAAGAGACGAACCTGGATCAATCTTGCGAGAAGCATCCTAAGGCAACGGGTGGTCGGTGCACTATGCCATGTTCTGGCACCGAGACCACAAAAAGAGCAACGGACGGTTGGTGCACTTTGTCGTTTTCTGGCACCGACACCAGAAAAAAAAGGGCAGCGCACGGTAGGTGCACCTTGCCATTTTCTGGCACCGAAAATGCGGCTTGCCACCCGAGTTCCAGCCGTGTTTGTTGAGTCGGGCCAGCGGAAACAACGGACCGCAGGCTAGATGGGTATGCGAAGCATAGCCGTAGCCCGCAGTCCTAGCAGAGTTCCAGTGCGGATGGCGCGAAACCCTGGCAGAATTCCCGAGATCTTGCCTACCTACGTGCGGCGTGCTACCAGGACTCCAGCCGTGTTGGTTGAGTCGGGCCAGCCGAAACAACGGACAGCAGTCTAGATTGGCATGCGAAACAAAGCCGTCGCCCGCAGCCCTGGCAGACAGAGTTCCAGTGCGAACGGCGCCAGCCTGTCCAGACGCAGTGCGTCTAACGCAGAGACGTCTGCCAGGATTGTTGATTCGGGCTGGCCGGAACCACGGCGAGCGCGCTGGTTGGGCATGCGATACAAAACCTTAGCCCGAAACCCTATCATCATTTCCGAGAGCTTGCCTACCTACCTACGTGCCGCGTGCTACCAGAACTCCAGCCGTTTTTGTTGAGCCGGGCCAGCGGAAACAACGGACCGCAGGCTAGATGGGTATGCGAAGCATGGCCGTAGCCCGCAGTCCTGGCAGAGTTCCAGTGCGGACGGCGCCAGCCTAGCCAGACTCAGCGTCCGAAGCCCTAGCAGAATACCAGAGGTCTTGCCTGCCCACGTGCGGCTTGCTACCAGAACTCCAGCCTCGTTGGTTGAGTCGGGCCAGCCGAAACAACGGACCGCGGTCAAGATGGGTATGCGAAGCCAGTTCCAGTGCGGACGGCGCTAGCGTGTACAGACGCTGCAAGGGGGGCTTTCGAGAGAAAGCCTGGGCCCACAGCCCAGCAGGGACCCCGAGTTATTGGAAAGCAAAATGCGACCCCACAGCGTGCCTATGACCCCCGGCCCAGAGAGGATGGACAATCTGATGAACAAATGGTACGGCGAGAAACTGACTGGCCTGTGGACTACCTACTCCAAGCGGCCAATAGCATAGTGAAACAGACGACCCCCTTCTTTATTTCAGGGGGGGCAGCGCGGCCAAGATTTGGTACTTTTTTTTTCGGGGGGATGCAATTGTTGGCACTGCGGGCAGGCATGCCGGACCTTTGGAAGTGCGGCATGGCGGCATGGCGGGGTCTTGCCCCTTGGTGGCCCCGGTTGGCAATATTGAGGCCAATGCGTGCCAACGCGTGCCAACGCATGCCAATGCATGCCAAAACATGCCTACGCATGTCAACGCATGCCAATGCATGCCAACACATGCCAATGCATGCCAATGCATGCCAACGCATGCCGATGCGTGCCAGTGCATGCCAACGCATGCCAACGCATGCCGACGCAGGAGGAGGAGGAGAATGAGGAGGAGGAGGAGGAGGAGGAGGAGGAGGAGGAGCAGCAGCAGCAGCAGCAATAGCAGCAGCAGGAGGATGAGGAGGAGGAGGAGGA